GGGCACCCACGGCCGGCAGCGGCAACGTGTCCGCGGCCCCTCTTTGTCTGCGGGATAATAGCAGCCGCGCGGCCCCCCGGGGCCCGGCACCGGGCAGCCGCCAGAGCCGGGAGGGGACAAAAAAAGCAAGTGACACTGGAGCGGAGACGCCACAAGGTCACCAGCTCCCGACGCACAAACCCGTGCGCTGCCCCACTCCGACACTGCGGCCACCTACGGACCAGGATCGGAGCCAGGAGGTGCCGGGGACCGTCCCCCGCAGCCCAGCGGCAGTCAGGTCTGCAGGAATTAGCAGGATGAAACAGGGCAGAGAAAAGCGCCAAGCTGCCTCCCTGGGCTCTCCCTGTGCCACGTTGTCCCCCATGTGAGCCCGGCTAGTGGCCACTCGGGATGCCCCGCGATGCATCTGGCCTGCGGAAAAACCGTGAGGGAGAAGAGAAGTCCTTGCTGGGGACGACAGCAGGGCCAGGTGGGCATCGAGGCTGCATCGGCCCAGGGCAAAGCTCCCTCCTTCCTGAGGGCATCGAGCATCCGCCCAGGCAGCATGGGATGGCCGAGGTCTGGGCACCCTCCTCGCACCATCCTGCTCAGCTGAGCCCACCTTTATTGCGGGAACGTTTGATTCCCAGACCGTGGAGCCACCCAAGCTGCAGGAGCAGCCCCAAGGGGCCTTCCTGGGACGAGGCCGCTGCGCGCAAGGGTTTTAGAAGCAGCCTCCTCCTGCAGCCGCCCCTGAGGCCGCTGCCCGGCGCGGGCTGCTTCTCTTTGCTCCTTACGGAGCCAGAGCAGGAAGAGCCGGAGCAGAGGCAACGCACTGCGCTCATCCCAGAGCCCGGTACCGTGGCGTGTTCCCTCCCCAACACGGCTCCAGCACAGCCGGAGCCAGCCGAGCTCCCCGAGTTGTCTGTACTTTCCCGTAGCCGGTCCGGCTGCCCCAGGACCAACAAGGACCACAGTGACCCCACAGCCCCCTATTCAGCCTTGCCCTGCAGCCCGGGCGACTCACAACGTGCCAGGGAAATCCCAGTGCCGGCCTCCGTATCAGATGGAGATAAGGACTGAAGCTCCCGCTGCTGCCTGGGGAGAGCCAAGGGGCCGGATTCTGCGTCCAGCAGCACGGCCGGATGACCCCGAGTGCTCCCCAGGGCGCCGTCGAGGTGCCCCCCATCCCCACGCAGACAAAGGCGACGCTGGACGCAGCCACGCGGGCTCGGCCACCCCGAGCAGTGGGAAAAAGACTCCCCCCCTCGCCTCCAGTGCCACAGGGAGCACCGGCATCGCGGGAGATACCTGTGCCGTGGCCAACGCCGCAGCTCCGCTCGGCTCCCGCCCGC